ATGAAGCAATATTGATGCATTATAATTAACTAAAGTCTATAATTTATCCCTAGGTTTTACTTACCATCTCTTTTCTGTCCCAGGATCTCACACTACATTTAAATGTCACGTTTTTAGGCTCCTCTTGTCTGCTGTGGCATTTTTTCAGACTTCTCTCTCTCTCTTTATTTTGGTTTGATTTTAAAAAATTGCGGTGGCACATGTAACATAGAATTTACCATTTTAACCCATTGTAAGTGTACAATTAAGTGGCAGTAAGTATATTCACACTGTTGTACAATCATCACCACTGTCCATCTTTAGGGGTTTTTCATCAACCCAAACCCAAACTCTGCACCCATTCAACACGGACTCCCTACGTCCCCCTCCTCCCAGCCCCTGGTAACCACTCTACCACTTCAGGAGTCTCACTGTTCTGGGTGCTGTGTGTAAGTGGAATCGTACGTACTCTGAGACCTGTGACTTCGTGGTTGTGGTGACAGTTTTGAGGGGTATGGCTCGGGTATTTTGTAAGATGGCTCACTATCGGAATTTCTCTGATGTTTTTCTTATAAGAAGACTGGGAGTTTGATGTATACTTATTACATGATGCCAAACAAGATGTTGGGTACTGAGGATTCAGAGATAAAAACCTAGAGTCTTAGCTTATGCTCATTTCACAAGTGACTAATCTCAGAGAATTTTGGTTATTTGCTCAGGGTAATGCAGTTAGGCAGTGGCGGAGATGAGATCTGACCTTGGCCTTCTGACTGCAGACCTGCGCTCTCTCCTCACACCCCCTTTCTGTGGGCTGACCAGAGCCTGTGCTTGTACTCCTTTGGGGCATTCATGACCGCTGGGCCTGGTCGGAGCTGGGCAGGCTGTGGGTGCTGGGCCGCCCCCACTTACCAAGCAGCAGCTCACTACTTAAGATTTTTAAGTTTTTTTTTTTAATTTGAGATATTTTGTATATACACATGAGTAGTAGGGTCACTGTAAAGAATCATAATAAAAATAAATACCCCTGGGCCAACACCTAACTTAACAAAGACGGTGTCCCCAATACTTTCCAAACCCCTTGTATGCGCCCTTCAGGTCCCACCCTTTCCCCTCGCCCCTGGAAGATAATCGCCACCCTGACTTTTATGTTTGTCATTCTGTCACTTGTACAGTTTACCACATAAGTATATGTCCCTAATCAAGATGTTGTTTAGTCTGGAGTTTTTTGACTTCTATTAAATGAAATCACACTGTGTGTGTGTGTGTGTGTGTGTGTGTGTGTGTGTGTCTGTCTGGTTTGCTTTATTGAACACTTTGTGGGATTCACTCAGGAAGTTGTTGCCTATTCATTTTAATGGCTATATGCTATTGCATTGTATGAATAGAGTGTATGTATTTTTAACCCATTGTCATGTCCATGGGTGTTTGGGTTGTTTGAAGTTTTTGTTTTCATGAAGAGTGCTGCTATGAGCATCCTGGGATCCACTTGGTGGAAGAGTTTTTTGAGGCATATTATGATGAGCAGAATCATTGGGTCACAGAGTGTGTGTGTGTATGGGATAACAACAGACTCTTCTGAAGCCTCGGGTCCACTGATACTCCTACCAGTAGCGTATGAGGTTTCCCAGCACCCCGCATCCTCAGGGCTGTTCTGTCCACTCAGCTATGATGACTCAGAGCCCACCTGGCCATTCTCAGGCCTCACTTGGCCTCTGGCCTGAGTACCTCTAGACTGGTTTCTCCCAGGCAGACTTGGACTTCCTGTTGCCCTGAGAGTTTGAGCCCATGCTCATATCATTGGCCCAGACTCTGCGTCCAGTCACAGAGCTCCAGCCTTGTCCTGGATTCTGGGTCCCAGCAGGGCCCTGTGGCTCGTGGGAGTCAAGGAGGATAGACATCACCCTTGCCAAGCCAGGTGGCACTGGAATTTTCCACCATAAAAGAGGCACTGTCATCTGCCCACACCTCCCAGAACCAGCAATCCTTAAAGGGAGCTTTAATAGCTTTTCTTGAGGCCTTCTGGCAGGTTAGCATAAGCACTGTCAGCACTGGCAGGAGAATGTGACATCTCTGCTGGCCTTGGGCCAGGCCACATGGACGTCTTCATGCACAGTGCCAGCTCACCCAGCCCCAGGCCTCAGGTGTGCATGTATGCACAGAGCCAGCCCTACGCAACCGGGACGGTACTGGGGGCCCTCTTCCTCATGCATTCACCTTCCTTCCAGATGCTTCTCTTTTGATCATGGCAGGACCAGCTGCATGTCCCAGGCTCATAGTGCTTGGGTTTTCAGAGTGGGAAGACACAACAGTGTGACGGTTACCAACACAGGCCGACCTGGATTAGAATCCCCATTTTACCTCTTACCAGCTGTGGTATCTTGTGCTGGTGACTTAACCTCCCTTCGCTGCTCTTTGGAAAATGAGGACACCATCTACATCTGCAGGGTTATCAAGTGAGCAAATGGGTGTAAAGCATTAGTACTCTGCCTGGCACAACCTGGACCCCGAACATGGTTTTGGGTAGTTACTGTGATATGGTGGAAGGACCTGGGTTTGAGTTCCGATGCTGTTATCTGTTAGTTGTGTCATTTAGTGTGTCTGAGCCTCGGTTTTCCCCATCTGCAAAATGGTAAGAATTTCTGCTTCATGGATTCATTGAACTAAACTATGTAGTGAACTTGGCAGATAGTGGTCCATAGTAAACACCAGTGACTGCTGTTATTGAAGAGATGAAGGGGCTTTATCTTCACCAAAGGAAAATAGACACAGTGACAGAGAGTAATCATTTCCTGTGAACAGCCCAGACTTCAGATATTGAATTTATGCATATATTGTTTTTAAGAAAGAATATAAACATTTTGGAAAAAAAAAAAGGAAAAGAAAATCAAAAGCTCCTCCAGTATCTCACCACCTGAACACAAGCACTGTGAACATGTTGGTGTTCTTCCTTCCAGGGTCTTTTCACATAGGATTAGTTGTGTTAATCATGTTTTCATATCATACATGGTTTTAGGAGGAGGTCTCTGACTCACGTATCACACCGCTATCTTTAATCTCACCTTTGCTTTCTTGCTTTTTTCACTTAATACATCTTGCAAATCATCCTAAAAAAGCCCTTATAGTTCTGACAGGATCTTTCTATTATTTATTTAATTAATTAAAAAAATTTTAATTAAGGTATTATTGATATACACTCTTATGAAGGTTTCACATGAAAAAGCAATGTGGTTACTACATTTACCCATATTACCAAGTCCCCACACATACCCCAATGCAGGCACTGTCCATTAGTGTAGTAAGATGCCACAGATCCACTATGTACCTTCTCTGTGCTACACTGTTTTCCCCTTGATCCCCCACACCATGTGTACTAAACATAATACCCCTCAATCCCTTCTCCCTCCCTCCCCAGCTGCCCTCCCACATCCCTCCCCTTTGGTAACCACTAGTTCCTTCTTGGAGTCTCTGAGTCTACTGCTATTTTGTTCCTTCAGTTTTGCTTCATTGTTATACTCCACAAATGAGGGAAATCATTTGATCTTTCTTTCTAATAGCTAATAGTATATATTGCATGGATGTACCATCAGGTATCATTCAGTCTCCTATTCACAATTATTCCTTTCTTTTGTTCTATAGATAATATTTCAGACAACAGGCTTGCCCATCATGTGCATGTGTCAGTCATATCTGTAGGATCAGTTCTGAGCAGTGAAATTTTGCTAGGTTGGCAGATTCATTTTTAAAATACACACTTTAAATTTTGATAGACACCATCAGATTGCCTTCCATAGGAGTTATATGGATTTAAACTCCACCCAATAACAGAAAAAAGTGCATGTTTGCTCATACCATTGCCAACACAGTGTTAACAATGTTTCTGATCTTTGACATACTGAAAGGTGAAAATAGTATTCCAATTTTGTTTTAATACAATTTTTCTTATAAGAAAGGCTGAATAACCTTTCAAAGCTGCATCTAGTTTGTTTTCTGTGAACTGACGAGAGTTCATTTTTAGTTGCTAAAAAATATCCCATGGAGAGGATTTGCCATAATGTAGCTTACCATTCCTTTGTGTTTTTTCTTAATTTTCATTGTTACAAATAATGCCATAGTGAATATCTATTTTTGCATAAAGCTTCCTCAGTCTTTTGTATTGTTTTCTTAGGATGAATTCTTGGAAAAGAAGTTTGTGGGTCAAAGGGTATAGGCATTTTAAGGACTTGATTGCTAAATTGCTCTTGGAAAGGCTTACACTAGTTTATATCCCCACCAACAATATACACATGTGTCCAACTCACTTTCCAATTGCCAGTATTGGCTTCCCAAATTTAAAACATCTGCCAGGACGCAGCTTCTGTGGATTTATTTCTTACTCTAATCCAGTGTTAGCCTAACCTTTAAAGCCAGGAGATTCCCATTGTGTATCCCAAACCAAATCCTTCTTGTCAAAATGGGGTTCAGCTTTGTTCTGGAAGAATTTAGAATTCTGCATCAGATATGTCAATTTTCCTTTCTTTGTAAAACCCCATGGCCAAACATGAGTTACTGAAGAAGAAAAACACTGCCATCGTTCCAAGAAGTACTCAAGCGCTTCTCTAACGGATTATCAACTGGAGGAGACGGCCTACGGCCCTGAGGTGTGGGGCAGCAGAGGAGGTCAGGCTCTGTCCTGGGCGGAGCCATCGGTTCACTTGTGCTGGGATGTGGCAAAGTCAGTGAGGGTGACCCTGGGAAGGTGTCCTGTGTGCTGGGATGCATCAGAGCAGGTGTCACCTGGAGGAGTAGACATTTGTTTTTATCTGCTCAACATCTCTTTCCTTTTGTGGTAATAGCGGCTTCTCTCACTCTTGCAAAATACTAGCCTTGGCCTAGGAGAATCTCCATTCCTCTTGGACAGAGTGACTGACTCATGAACAGGCACCTGACCCAAGAAAGATCGGCACAGTCCTTCTTGGAATTTGACATGTGGGTGCTGGGGGAAAGAAACTTTGTTGGCCCAGGAAGTCCATTAAACTGAGATGATTGAGGCTTATGGCTGCTATGGTCCTCTTCTCATCTGTGTGGAAAGTGCTGTCTGCAATTAAAGCCTGGGAATATGGAGCTAAGGAAACAATCAGAGATGAGGCAGGAGAGGTGTTCACACCAGCTAATTGAGTGCTTGTCTGAACTGGATTTTTTTCTGTATTTACAGTGGAGGAACTCTAGTTCACCTGGAGAGGCCAGAGAACTTGCATCTAAGAGGTGAGCACAGAGAGTTCTAGAAACAATGAGGCAGGGATTGGTACTAGAGGGAACTATTAATTATCAGGTTCAAGCATCTCAGATGTTTGAGGTGATAGGATAGGGCAAGGTAAGAATAGACGGCTAGGGATATGAGCAGCCAGTTAAATACAAAGCCAGAGAAGGTAAAAGAGTCTGTTGTATTCATCTGGGTTACTGAAACATATGTACGTGTACATTTGACTTTCCTGCTAGACGATGCTGTCCTTGTAGATAAAAACTATGACTAGCTCAATTTTAAAATTTCAGTGCTGGCACACAACCCTCTGTGTAGACCCAGACACACCCAAGTTTATCCAGATTTAAAAATTGGTCCTGTCGTGTACAAACTATATGACTTTGCACAAATCACTTACTATCAAGCCTCAGTTTCCTCATCTGTAAAATAACAATCTGGGAGAATTATTATTTTCATATAGCCCAGTTCATATGGCAATTGTATATAACATGCATTGTGTATGGTTACATGTAAAAGTCACCTCACAGGGATAGGATGTAAGAGCTTAATACATCTTACCAGTTTTGATGATGATAGTAATGATGATTAGCACTTTGGAAATGTTTGTTGAATGAATTTCAGACTTTGCTTATGCACAGACAGAAAGAAGCAATGGCTTTTCTTTCTCCTTCTTGTGATCCCCAGGCCCCTCTCTAGAAACTGTTGCCAAATGTGCTCATCTTCCAGCCCTGAGATGCTTCAAATGCTGTAAGTTTCCCTCTTGGCCGCTTGGCTTGCCCTTAGGGCACACCAGCTGCGTGGGGTTTGACTGACATTTCCAAATATCACAGACATCCTGACTCACCTGGGCTGGTGCCCTCTGTGAGAGCCTGCAGGGGCCAGAACCCATTCCCTGCCCACAGCCAGGACTACTGCAATGCCTCTCATCAGGCCTGACCTTCATGTCGGAGGAGCCCGTGACAAGAACAAAAAAAGAGGCCACATACCATTTGTCCAAATATTTTAAAATTATGAATCAAGCTAACAAAATGTTACATGTGTCCCATCCTCCTGCCTTGAAAGATGTATCCTTATAATGACAAAATTAAAAATGTGTGTAAATATGTGTACAGCTATATAATTTCTAATACCAAAATGAGCAAAATAGTAAATATGACTGAAGTTAATCATAATTTTTTCTGTCTGTATGCTCTGTAGTGTTTGTAAGGGCCAGCAGTGTTTGAATTAATGTAATAAGAACATTAAAAGTTGTTTTCATACATGTTTTAAAAGAACTAATTTTGAGCATTTAAGAAGAAAAGTTATATTGAAATTAAGAGGTATCTATGAAGTTCCCCATTTATTTACATCTTCTTTAATGTTTTTTCAAGAGTTTTATAATCTTCTCCATAGAGCACCTACATAGCTTTTGTTAGATTTATTCATTTTAGTTTATATTTTTGGCATGATTATCTTTTAAAAAATTCATTTTTTGTTCATTGCTGATTGTAGAAATTCATTGACCTCTGCATATTGATTTTTAAATTCAGCAACCTTGCTAAATTCTCTTATTAAAACTAATAATTTTTCTATAGATTTTTGCATTTTCCATGGAGCTGATAATACATATGAATAATGAATGTCTTATTTCCTTTTTCCAATCCTAATACCTTTAAGTCTCTTCTCTTTCTCCAACACAATGCTGAATGAAAATAAAAGCAGGTACTCTTGTTCTGGTTTTAAAGGGAAAACATTCGATTTTTTCCCACTAAGTGGGATTTTTGCTGTCAATTTTCTGTGTGCATTTGAGGCATCTCAGGGCTGGAAGATGAGCACATTTGGCAGTAGGTTCTAGAAAGGGGCCTGGGGATCACAAGGAGAAAGAAAAGGCTTTAGGAGATTCTACTTCTTGCTTTCTAAGGATTTATTTTTTATTTGTTTTTATCATGAATGGATATTTGAATTTGTCAAAAGAAACTTCATTCACTGAGATGATCATGTAATTTTTCTCTTTTAATCTGTGTGAATTACAGGAATTGGTTTTCTAACCTTAAAATAAACTTGTGTTCCTGCAATAAGCCCAACTTGGTCACGACTGTCTTTACACATTGCTGGGATTATTCTGCTAAATTTTAAAGAAGAGTTTAGTATCTCTGCTCATTAGTGATATTGTCTCATAATTTGTCTTTTGTGCATTATCTTTGTGTTAATTTTGTGCTAGCCTCATGAATGAATTGAGGAGTGTTTCTTCCTTTACTATAACTGGAAAGAGTTTGTATAATATTGGAGTTATTTGTTCCTTGAATAATTGGTAGATGTTACTAGTAAAACCATCTGAACTTGGTGTTTCTTTGTGGCAAGATTTTAAACTACTGATTCAATTTCTTGAGTGGTTATAGCACTATTCAGAGGTTTAGTTTCTTCTTTAATCATTTTATTTTTTATACGACTTGGTCTATGTTTTTCTAATTTCTCAAATTTATTACCATAAAATTGTTTGTAATATTCTCAATCTTTTCAATCTGTGTGGCACCTGAAGTTGTATACCATTTTTCCTTCCTAATATTAGGCCTTCTGTTCTGTTAGTTTTTCTTGATTTATTTTAACTAAAGGTTTGTTAGTATTAGCAATCTTTTAAAAGAACCAAATTTTGCTTTTATTGCTTCTCTTATGTGTGTTTATTTTCAATTTCATCATTCTTTGCTCTTATGTTTATTATTTCCTTCTCTACAATTTTCTTTGTTCTATTAGTAATTTTTCTATGTTTTTAATATTTATTATATAATAATAGCATATAAAAGTATACATTCCTTACTAGCACATGGTAATGCTTTAGGTAAACTCTGTTAAGTTTTAGCATAGTACTGTTGTTATTGTAGAATCCTAAATATCTTAAAATTTCTCATGATTTATTATTTAACCCATGAGTTTTGAAAAACATGCTTATGAATTTTCCAAATACATGGGTAGTTTTCTGTTTGTAACTGACTTCAAATTTAGTAGTCTTGTGAGCAGAAGAAGTATTCTGTAGAATACCAGTCTTTTTAAATTTATTGAGACCTGAATATAATTACATTTCTTAAATGTTTCATTTATTTCTGAAAAAATATATATTCTAAAATACTTGGGTCCAGTGGTATACATTAAGATCTTACATATAAGAAAACTTCCAAATCATTTCCTAAGAGGTTGTACCATTTTACATTCTCATTGCCCTTGGATGTGAGTTCCAGTTGCTCCCCGTCCTTGTCAACAGTTGGAACACTTAATGGTTTTCATTTCAGTCATTCTAATGGTATATCGTGGTATCTAGCTGTGGTGGTAATTTGAACTTCCCTAATGACCAATGATGTTGACCATCTTTTCATGTGCTTATTTGCTGTTGGTGATGTGTCTGTTCAAATCTTTTGCCCATTTTCTAACTCAATTGTTTGTCTTTTTATTATTGAGTTATAAAATTCTTTATATATTCTCCATATAAATGATCTCTCTGTATAATATATTCTGATTTTATGTAAATATTTTTAATGTATTTTAGACACAAGAACTTTGTAAAACTTTGTCAAATATATTTTTTTGCAAATATTTTCTCCCAGTCTTGTCTCCTCTGTGGCCATGTAAATAATTTTCATCAATGACAGTGAGTGGAAATGATGTGTATTCTTCATGGGTCAACTTTGAAGAAGCAGTGAAGCCTCTGCACTTTTGTGTTATATTTCCACTGGCAGAAAAGCAGCCCCAGGGGATGGTAGAGTCACAAGATGGAAGGAGTTTAGATCCCTGAGACACCACATGGAGGAAAACTCCCTGTCCACTAGGAACACTGAAATTAACTGTAGTGAGAAATGAATTTCCACCCAATTAAGCCACTGACATTCTGAAGTTCGTATATTACAGCAACTAATGTTCACTTAATATAATACCCTTGCCTTCTTTGAAAGGGTTGGAGACTAAAAATGAGTTGGAATGATATATGTGACTTCTCTTCAACAAGTTTTTATGTGAAGAGGCTATCTGAAGCTATTTCCAGAACCTGTTCTAACCAAGCCAATTCATTTGTTAAGGAATGACTGATAATCTGGTTTAGGGAAATAATGATATGAACCTTTTATTAAGTCTCTCAGGTGTTTCTTTGTAATATTAAGGTAACTTTGGTGGGTTCTTCACATGAGTTTACAACCAGGTCCACAGTGGAAAGGTTTTCAGTATTTGTTGGTTGGCTGGGTCCGTGGAGTTCTTCTGGGGCCTGAGGAGGCTCTGTCTGAAACGGCCTCCTTTCAGTGAGCCAAGCTTTATATAGATTCTTTCTCAGGTCTCAGACACCATCAGGAGATAGGGACTATTATACCAGTTCCTGTTTTCTTTTTGGACTTTGACCCAAAACAGAGGTGAGGGTGTGTGATAGAAACTCAGCCTGGGGAGGATGTATGTGTGTGTGTGTGCGTGTGTGTGCACACATACACACATGTGCACCAATGATCTGGTACCAGTATAAAAGAAACTTAGCCATTAGTCTTTCTCTTCCTACTTTCCTTCCCTTCTCCCACCATCCTGTGATCCTACCTTTGCATCCACCAGAGGTATGGGTGCTTCCCACCTTGGAGAAAGCACACCTGAGTGTCCCAAGAGAATTCATAGTATCCATCTTGCACATGTATTGTCAAGGTGGTTTCTGGAAGCCATTTTTGGGACTGTCTTCAGAGCCCATAGGATCCAATCACTGCAGTTAAAACTAGATCTAGAAAAATTCCTCTAAAGAAAAAAAGAAATGGAGTTAATGTGTTTTTCTTTCTTTTCAAAATTTTCCATAAGGTGGTTTCCTCATTTTTATCATTAAAAGTGATGAACAGTGCAACGAATCACACAGCTATATGTATGTTGCTTCTCTATGTGAGAAATAACCTGATAGCTCTCTCTCCTACAAAGTAGTAATACTGCATCACCAAGGAGGTTTTTAAAAATTATTAAAATTTTTTTATTGTGATAAAATATACAAAACATTAAATTTACCATTTGAACATTTTAAATGCACAGCTCTGTGGCATTAAGTACATTCACACTGTTGTGCAACCATCGCCACCATCCATCTCCAGAACCTTTTCAACATCCCAAACCGAAGCTCTGTACCTGCTGAGCTCCCCACTTCACCCTCGCCCAGGCCTTCATAAAGTCCATTCTACTTTCTGTTTCCATGAGTTTGACTACGCCAGGTACCTGATGTAAGTGGAATCCTACAGTATTTGTCCTTTCGTGTCTGGCTTATTTCACTTGGCTTAATGTCTTCCAGGTCCTTGCATGTTGCTGCAGGCGGCAGTTTCCTTCCTCCCTCAGGCTGACTGTATGTGTGCGCTCTGCTTGGCTTATCCACTCATCCGTCAGTGGACGTGTGAGTTGTTCCACCTTTTGGCTATTGTGAATAATGTTGCTGTGCACAAGACAGATATTTGAGTACCTGCTTTCCCTTCTTTTGGGTCTATTCCTAGAGTTGGAATTACTGCCAAGGAGATTTTTAGTACTCATTTTTGGGACCCTCATAGGACATTACTGTGAACTTCCATGGGCACTCTTTGTCCTTTGAATGTGGATTTTTAGAAAGTGCCAGAAGTTTTGGGGAGGCATCAAAATGGACTGGTTTCTTACTTTGTGTTACATACACTGCCCCTTCAAATAAAGTAATGCAGAGAATTAGGACATGTATTTTCCTTTCTGGATCAGGGAACTGAAGCAGAGAGGGCCTGAGGGCCTGCCCAGTGTGTAGAGTGTAAGTCCCAGGGCCAGAGTTCAAGCCCAGATCCTACTGAGTTCAAACCATATGCTCGGTCTATTACCACGTTGTCTTACTTTGAAACAATTGTTGAACTACCAGATTGGGGAATACCATTTTGGGTCAAAAAGATATGACTAAGGACACTGATTTTAAAATATCCATTATTTTCACTGTCCAAAATTTGGAATATGGAAAAAAGCAGAAAGAAAAAGGTCTACCACTCACTGTCAATCAATTGTAAATCTCCTTAAAATGTTTAATTGCATTTCCCCCACAGTTCAGCTGGGCGTGGTGTTCACCTGATCATGTCAGGTCAAGAAGAGACAAGCATTTAGCAACCTTAGTGATGCCATGCCTTTGCATTTATAAAGATTTACATTGTCAGGAGACGGGAGGGGGTGTGGCAGCCACAGAGGAGCATTGCTGGGCTCTCCTGTCAAGAAAGAACTTGCGAAGCTTTTTCAGCTGGGAAGAATGCGGTCAGCTGACAGCCTAGAGCAGCAGCCCTGGGATCAGCTTCATGCTCTTCCCAGGCAGCTCCCAAGCCAGTGACGAAGCGTGGTGCAGGCATGGGCTCTTGCCATTTCTGCCCAGTGTGGGGGGCAGTGGGGTGGTCCTCTAACGGGCAGCTTTGCTCCCCTCCCTGTGGGGTGGCCCAAGTCTTGACATGATCTGCTCTGTGGCCTGAGATGCTCCCTGCCCTATTTTCCTCCCTCTGTCTTTCCTTTCACAGGACCATGTCTTGCACCCTGAGGGCTTTTCCTGCCCTGTCCTGCCTCTGCCCCCTTTCTCTTCTGCAGTTATTGCTTCCCACCCCCCACAAGTCCTCATTCCTCACTCCAGCATCTGCTTCTTGAAGGACCCAGATCAACACAGGTGGAGGCTATTGAGAATCTCCGTGCATCTTTCTGAGATTTTATTGAGTCTTTGAAAAGCTAAGCTTAGAATTTCTAGATTAAGTAATGTTCAACATACCACCAATGTTGGACTTAATACAGAGCAGAGAAGTGTAAGGATTGTGTATTTTCTGAGTATTTTCCTGAATCAAATAACCTTCTGTCTTAATATTTGAGATGTACAAAATAGTAGAATAGTATGTAACAGAAGAAGCACTAACGAAAGACTGGAGACAAAAGAGAATGGAAGCTGCACACCAAACACTAACAAAGATGAGCAGATAACATTGAAACATAAGGGGAATTATTGGAAGCCAGACTGACTGCCCTCTAGAAGCACTGGCTGTGAGTAATCAATGACATCTGATTAATGTGGAAGAACATAACCTAGTAAAAATGTGTTATAGCTGAGTGTCTTGCAATGCAAGCTAGTGTGAATTAAGTGGGAAACACATAAGTAAATATATGAAACTAGTTGCATCTGCTGTAACTCACACCACTGCAGTAGCTTTTAAGAGTTGCCAACAGAATAATGCATTCTATCTATCTGAATTCCCATTTGGAAACGCAACAGATTGGAAATGCAACAGATTGTTTCCAGGCAGCCTGGCATCTCACCTCCCACGGTCAGGAAGGCCAGTCCAGCACTGTAGTCACACTTTTGCTTTCTGTGCAAGCCCAGGGAGCAGCTCTCACAGTAAAGGCGGTGTCTCAGGCAGATGGAAGCATTTTCATCCTGACTGCATGCCTGATGTCTTGCCTGTGATATATGTAGCTGCCTTCTTGAGGGCAGGGACCCCCTCCTGCCCCTGTCAGGAGTGCCTGGGGCTTGCATGAAGAGCCATAGACCAGGGCTCTGGCCACTGTCCTCATTGGTCCATTTAATTCCTAAACACAAAACCCCCACTCATGCTCCTTTCTCCTCCCACACCCCAGTTGGCCCAAGAACTTTATTTATGCCTTGCTTGGGGGTCCTCAACCTGGCTGCCCATTCACTACTGCCCAGGCTGTACTCCTGAACACTTAACTCAGAACCTCTGCAGGTGGGGCCAGGCAGCAGCATTTTGAAAGCTTCCTAGGTGGTGACAATGTGCAGCCAACGCTTAGAATATCTGGCTTAGCTAAACCCACTTTCCTGATGGAAGGAGAAAGGAAAGATGCTCTGGCTATGAACTTTGCACCAGGCCCATCTCACTGGCCACACCACTGCCCCTGAGGACAGAGCCAGGTCACCCCCACCTTGTCCCATTCTACAGTGCCCACCATAGTTCTTGACATGGAGTAGATGCACCCAGTCTTGTCCTCAGTGAAATAAAATTGAATTTTTTATGGAGGGCCCTTAGATTTAGTCCTCCCCACATTGCCACCCAAGCTTCCGTCATCTGAGCCAGACACAGGGTATTTGGGGTAAAAAACCCAGGATCAAGATCTTTGATAGCAAAGTACATATATTCTTTAACTCCTATGAGGCTGAGATTTTCCATCTGGAAATGGGAATTGTGCTTTTGTTCATTGATCCTTCTATCTTGGGAGGTTGGCCTGGACCTGATGTCATACTATCATTTCCTCTCAACACCCCTATTAGGTAGACCTTCTTGTTACCTTCTTACTGATGGGAAAATAGACTCAGTGAACTAAACTAACTTGTTAGGGTCACACAGCTCATCACTGTCTGAACAGAGATGTGCTTCTGCTCTTGGAGATTAAAGGGGTGGCTTTGGAATTAGATGAGGTTCAAATGCCCACTGCAGCTCTTGCTAGCTGGGTAATCTTAGGCATAGTATTTAACCTCTCCAATCTTCACCTTCAATTATAACCCCAAGAATCCTGTTCTACTCCCCAGCATGCCTTTGGGCACACTCCAGCTGGGCCATTGGAGGCGTCAGGAGAGCCATGTAAGCCGCAGGCTGATGCACCTGCCTGATCCCAGATGGGATGAATGAACTTCCATTTTTCATTCTGGGGTTTCCTCTAGGTAGAGATGCCAGGGAGGAAAACATACAAGACCATTGGATAAACGAGCACACAACTGACTCGCCACACCGACTCTGATCATCTTCATCAGCAGAAGCAACAGGTAGGGCTGAACTCTCATGGCCCCTTGAGTGCACAGGTTCAAGTTGATCCAATACCATGTGTGGGTAAAATTGTAACATTTCCAGAATATCTCACCTGGCTTTAGTACATCTGCATATCGATAGGCATTCAGTGGTGGAGAGAAGTATGGCTTTAGTGCATTTGCATCATTCCTCAGGGGTGGAGAGAAGTTCATCTCCATATCAATGGGTAATTACCTGGGCAAGGAGGGCTTATCTGTACCCTAGAGGTGAGGGGAGGGTTGATATTGGCCTTTCCTGGAGCAGGAAAGAGAGAAGGCCTGGGACTGGAGTTTGTAAGCAATAAACGGATTTTAAACTTTATTTCTCCCTTTGACTGATTTTGGTTTTTAGAGGTATTTTGCCCTGGGGTTTCCTCTCCCCGGACTTACACCATGTTAATGCAGATGATATCACCTATGACTTCAGCTTACATTATGGTGCAAAGTACTCTAAAACTCCCCAGAACTTTCCTTAAGGTGGAGCCAACTGGACTCCATATGGCTCCATCTGGAATGGTTGTTTACTTTATTTACATGTGGTTTTTCTCATTAGAACATCATACTGTTGTAGGATCTGAAAAATCAAAAGTTAGCATAAGTGCATAAGTACAGCCATCTTAAAGGGTTAAACACCACCCTCTAGCCTAGGAGAAGGAAAATTATTAGAATCTTGAAAAACAAATTAGTCAGCCAGTGTTAAATGTAGTGACCTTCAGTTAGCTAACCTCAAATCAGTTAATCATGAACACCAGGTGGTGGGCAGCTGCGGCCTTCAGACTGCTAACCTTGGTCGGATAGTCATGCATACCAAGCTTATCTTGCTGAAACACTGTGTAAGGAAATACTGTCTTTTTGAAAATGCTATGCTATAAAAACCTCTGGCTTTGGCTGCTCGGGGTCCTTGTTGAGACCCGCTGCGTTGGGCTAACTTGGACCCCAGCTAGCTGGTTCCTGAATAAATTCCTCTTGCTTATTGCATCAAGAGACGCCTT